TGTAGTTATGATGGGACTGAAAATTAAGGATTATTCCCGCATATGAATTCTTTCTGTATAGTCTCCTTATGAGTTTCCCCTTGGAGCGTATGACTTAAATATCCAGAAAGGGTAGCCGTTCATCCTCCACCTCTATTGTGAATTTAATTCTTTCGTCAAATTGGTTAATAAGATTGAGGAATTCATTTAGATTTCCCTTACCATGTGACCAAAGTGCAAAGAAGTCATCCAAATATCACATAAGCACTCTTGGTTGCACTAATGACTTCACGAATTCCCTTTCCAACTTGTCCAATTACACATTTGCCAAAAGAGGTGAGAGTGGATATCCCATCGGTAGTCCAAATATTTGCTCGTAGATACTGCCATTACATGTAAAATACGTGGTCCTTACTGTCAGGTTGATCAGTCGTGCTAACGATTCTTTCCGTATTCGTTGTGCCTCCAGAATGTCCTCTTCTCGCTCCAATATCTCCAGCAAGGCGCTTACCGCTTTCTCGCCTCAGATGTTTGTGTACATGGATTAAACATCGAAACTCACCAACAGTTCCGACCCCACCAACCCAATGTTCTGGATCCTTTAAGAAAATTCGTATGAATTCTTGACGATATTCAAGAGCCTGTCATTTACTTTCTAGAGCTTCAGGCAAATGAATTTCGCTAGTTTATGCATTGCTCCATGCTTGTTGTTGACTCTTAATTTAGAGGATTTCCTTCCTTGTGTATCTGTGGTAGTCTGTAGGCTGTCGGTGGTCTTGCGTCATTTTTGATTAAAGATTTCACCATCCATCTGTTTATTTCCCCATTAGTATGCATTTATTTGAGAATATTCTTAAGTGTCCTGTTGATCTTCGTGGTTGGATCCTTCCTTAGTATTTGATAAATGTTCTGATCGGTAAGGATACTTTTCATTTTCTCTGTGTACTCTTTCCTGTCCATTACAACAGTTGCCCCTCCCTTATCAGCCTGCAGAACTATTTGATCATTCATTTGTATTTCTTTTCAAAGAGACGAATTGTGTGGTGCTAAGAATGGCGATAATCACTGACGATGCCGACTACGATGCCGGTGAAACGTTTGGGAATGATCATGGGAAATGATCATGCAGACAATGGACTCCGTTCTT